TACTCTAAAAGGTCCCATTTTGTAGCTTAAATGCTTTGTAAAGGTACACTATATGCACATTTCCAGATGAAAGGTACAAAACATAAGATTACCATGTCAGCAACCAGGAAAGGTACAGTTTAGCATGCATTCTTCTGTAAGTGTACCCTGCTAAATTTTTAAATAGCACAGCGCTATAGGTTACTGTAGGTGATGTACTGTTTCGATATAATATTAAAGGCACACTATGCACCTTTCCAGGTAAAAAGATACACTCTGTACTGTAGGTACAAACGTTTGAATCTTGATGATACCACCTCTGCGACAGGGAATGTTGCTTGAGTACCCTTGTTTCTGAGAGTGATCGTATGCGTTTTGGGATTTCGTGCATTGTAGGGCATCTTCCACTATGCACTCTAAGAAAAAATACAAAATTACTAAACTGTACCTTTCTTTGTCACTGAAGTGGTACTCTGAAGGGTACATCTTTTGTACTTTTAATGATTGTTTTAATATAGTAATGTGAATTTAATATTTAATATAGTAATGTGCTTAAATGTTTAATTTTACCTTAAGCACTTTTGTACCTTAGCTTGTAGAGTAATATTTTAAAGGTAGACTACATGCACCTTTCCAGGTAAAAGATACACACTAAATAGAAAAGGGTGTATGCTTGAGGGTAAAACCTCGGTGGCCAGGAATGGTACAGTTTAATACCTTTTTGTTTCTGACAGTGTGTAGTGTGATGGTATATACTGTATGCTGTGAAACGGGATCCGTTATTGAAAGCCAAGCCCAGCGCGTGCCCTATCTCCTCACGTTAATCAGGTATAATGGGCTAAATAAATGCTCTTAAAACGAGCCAATGGCACGCACACACTTCCCTCAATAACTTTTTTTTTTTTTCTTGGCTGGGCGGTGACGGTGACTGCCTCCAACTTTGCTCCGGGATGCTCTTCAAACGCTGAGAACTTTGACTCTGAGCGGAGTGGAGGAGAACCTGGCAGTCACGTAAGCACCGAGGTTTCTTATTCATATTTTTTTTTATTTTATTTTTTTAGTTGTTTGAGGCGCGCGCTTGTTTTTCCGAGGCCGACGCATGAGGCAAGGTATGAGCACGGAGCTCCGCGAAGACGCCGCGTGCTCGGCTCAGCGCGCTCCGAGCCTGCCGTTCAGCGTGGACGCGCTCATGGCTCCCGCAGGAAGCAGGGCTCCCGCCGAAACGCCTCGCTACGGCACCGGGCGCTCGACGCTCCTCTACGGGCCGCCTGCGCCAGAGGACCGCGTCCCGTCGTCGCCCGTCAAGTTGGAAGCGTCGGATCGCGAAGAGGCGGCCTGGTCCAAGTCCGCGTGCTCACCACAGCCACGTAGGTTTACGCACAACATATTCACAACACAGGATTTTTCCCACAAGAGCTCAATACAATAGCTTAAAACGTGTAATATAATACGTGATGTTTATTATGACAACAACAAACGCCATATTTCCTTGTCTCTTAGGCACACTTTTCTACCTTTAATATGTAGCTATCTTTCACCTGGAAACGTCGATATGATTTAAGTAGCTAGATAAATAGTTTTTAAAGGAAAAATGTAAAGGGACAAAGGGAAAGGTGTACGCTTGAGGACAAGGTATAGTTTAGTACCTTTTTTTCAGAATGTGTAGTGTTGAGGTTACTCCTACTGCTCTGAATGAAGTGCTGACAGCTCAGGGTTCTTTAAGTGCAGCTGGGCAACAATACAAACTGTACATGCAGTAGTTTTTTTTTTTATTATTATTATTATTTATTTTTTGCTTGTATAACACATTTCTTAAAATAAAATCCAAGATGTGTATTCCCATTCACCAGGCTGGCATCTAAATGCTTACATATCTGCTGTACATATAGAAGGTTACCACAGGGGTTCTCAAACTTTCTTCAGCTAGGCATTAATGTTCTGAACACAATTCATCTAATCAAATATTGCATAAGTTAGACAAATATGTACTGTACAATCATATTTATTTGTAGGACTCATTAGAGCTTTATTCATCGATTTTCTACCCCCAGAACCGACACCATGTACATCATGTTAACATATTGAAAAGATTTATATCATGCTAATGCCACTTTAAGTATCAAGTTGATATAATTCATACTACTTCTTTAGTTACTGATCTTTATCTATATGTTTTAAAAGAGCAACTTTTTAAGAAACATATTAGTGACATCATTTAATTTAAAACCATTAAATTCAAGTGACCAGAAAAACAAGCTTTTAACTATAATGACTAAATAATAACTTTATTATTTATTTATTATGAAAACTTTGATTTATTAAACTACAAGAACAAACTTAGGAACCCCAGGCAATATGTCATGGACCCCTGGTTCGAGAACCATTGGAATTAAAAATAAAGCTTGGCATATAAAGGTTAAAGGCGTACATAAATGAGAATTTGCTGTGGAATTTATCTTGTGCCCATGAGGCATATTAAATGAAAAAAATGCAATTGTTTTCTGCAGTTTTTTTGAGAACATATTGTAGTTTGCGATTTCTCCCATTCTTACAGGACACTTGGGTCCGAGCACATGTTCTCTCAGAAAGCACAAGACGAATCGTAAGCCTCGCACTCCATTCACGACTGCTCAGCTCCTGGCACTAGAGCGCAAGTTCCGTCAGAAGCAGTACCTCTCCATTGCTGAGCGTGCCGAGTTCTCCAGCTCTCTCTGCCTGACTGAAACACAGGTAAAGATCTGGTTCCAGAACAGACGGGCCAAAGCCAAGCGACTGCAGGAGGCCGAGATGGAGAAGCTCAAAATGGCGGCCAAGCCCTCGGCGCACTCGGGCCTGTCTTTCCCGTTTCCTCTCAGCAGTCAGCCACAGGGAGCAGCAGCGCTCCTCTATGGACAATCAGGACACTTTCCTTTCCGCAGATACATGCTCCCTATGCCTCCACTTGGGATTTACTCCACGCCTTTGGCCTATAGTATGTATCATTTGTCCTGAGAGGCAGTATGGATTTTTTTTTCATCCAAACTGAAGACTGTTTGTTGGTGCCTAAACATCTTTGCCCAGTGGGCTGATATGTAATCTAAAAAGTGTGTCAAGTGGCCAAAACAACAAAAAAGGCTAAAAGTCTGTGTGTAATTTTTGACATAGTAGTAGCTTTCTAAAAGTTTTGAAACAGATGTCAAGATCCCCACAAAAACAAAGAAAAAAAAAATCCTTTCAGGCCACAGCTTGGGGAGGCTGTGTCTAAATGCACCTTATAAAGACTATGCAGGTTCAGATGCTGGATATACTGAACTACTTAACTGAACTTGGTAGGCTGAAGACTAAAATTTAACAGTGTCATTTTTATGTTTTAGGGTCAATTCAAAAAGTGTAAAAGAAACCTGGACTCTTCATATCAGACATACAGAACTGTCATGTAGGAAATCAGTATTTTATAGAGGACAAATTTCAAATCAAAACAATCATCAAGTGCTATTTTGTACTTTCTTCTCAGTCAGAGGAAATGCTGACTTAAATTTACAAAACCAAATGTTGATTACACAAGCTCTATATAGCCTTTCATGACTTTGTGTAGTGGTCACATAATTATATTTATATGAGGAACAAATGTACCATAATATGTTTTTAAAAATAATGTTGTTGCTTTTCATTAAAAGTAACTTTCAGATGAAACTTGGTGTGTTAATATGAATTAGTAGCCTGATGACACAAGCTAATACAGGCCAATATAAGGGGAAAGATAGGGATAAAAAAAAAAATAATAACCCAACACCTTTATGGAAAACTGAATTGCAATTATGAATTATTTGATTGGGGTTGATGATGCAGTATTTGAGAATGTGAGATAAGCTCGACCCCAAAGGCTGCAGGGTTGCTAATGCTTTTTAAATTGAGCTGCTGAAAAGAGGCTTTTAGGCATTCATGCTCATAATCTTTTGAAATGTTGAGGTTGATCTGTATGGCTCTCTTTTTTCGTCCTGGTGGTCTTGGGAAAAGTTAATTAAATGGTGTCATTACATGACGCACTGAAACACTGAGTCTCTCCCAAAGCTATTCAAGCTGGTTAAACTCCCTCTGTGTATAAGCACAGGAATGTGGCTCCCTTTTGAGTTTGACACGTTGAACTTGTCAACACTATAGCACCAATTTACTGTCTACACCCTGTCCTACACCCTGGTTGTTATTAAGTGCAAATTAAAACTAATAGTATAATAGCAGCTTTGTATTCAAATTAGTCAAGGCTGTACCAGGGCATGTAGGCAAATTTCAAGAGGTATTTAGGTTCAGTTGTTATGTTTTTGCATGTATTTTGGGAGTGCCCTCTTAATTCCTGGCAGTAGGGGTGTGATAATATATTTCGAGGGAACTTGTAATTGTCATGCTCTTAAAAGGCTTTTAAAGCAGCTTTGAATTTTATTTTAAATAACAAATATACCAGATGGAAATCATGGAAATTCTTTTGATAGATTACTGAATGGTAAAAGTGTACCTTTTAGAGATAAAGTGAAACAGAAATCATAAGGCATTTTTCTTCTGTAATGTGAAGTCTAAATGAAACAGACTCTGTGTTTTCACTTGATGATAGCTGTGGTGGGGGGGTTGAAACAGGACATCACTTTATAGGTTAATATTATTCTTTCCCCACTCATGAGTATATGTTAGTAGTGAATAATTCAAAGATGTTTAACAGCAGGCAGAAGTTATAACATTTTAATGGAAGATTATGGAAGAAGTAGAATTTAAGTGTTTGATACTGAAATGTATACATAATTTCAGTATTTGATACTAAATGTGCACCTCATGACGTTTTTTGATTTAGCATTTTCTTTGCCAAGTTCATTAAAATATTAATGCAGTTTCCTGAACCAAGTCATTCAATTCTTGTACAGTGCTTTTATATGTAAAGTCAAAAGGTTTTGAACACCCTGTATTAACATTTTTGGTTAAACTTCAAGAAATAGGTTCAAGTTAAATACCCTAAAATTAGAAAATCACTCACGTGAACAGAGAAATGTTTAGGGCCCCTGGAGGAGTAGTGGTTAGGCATTGGTGCTCTCACCTCCACAGCCTGGGTTCGATTCCCGGCCAGGGAACCAACCCCAGACACTGGGGCTGCACACGACAGTGCACTCCCAGTGCCGGTCCCAAGCCTGGATAAAATTGGGGAGGGTTGCGTCAGAAAGGGTATCTGGCATAAAAACTGTGCCAAATAAAAAATGGGGACCAGTAATCCACTGTGGCGACCCCTAACAGGAACAACAGAAAGAAGAACAACAAACAGAGAAATGTTTGTGACTTTTTACATTATTTATGTCACTCTAATTAGGCACTTTGTAACATAAAACAATTCTAGCCTTACAGTAACTTACAGTCTTACAGTAACTGTTTCACCAAACAAGTGCCTTTAATAAGGCATGTATTTAGAGTCCCATTACAATCTGAGAGTGGACAATGACCAAAACCTTAAGTATAAAGATTTGGGTATTTGATGGAACACTTGTTTTCTTCTCCTGTTTTAATTGCTAATCCTGGGTAAACTGTAATTATATGTGGAAAATAATGACCATGATAGTGTGTAAATGTGTACAAGTTATGCTGTAAATTTTATAGATGTCTAACACCTTTGCCATTCATCACACTACTTGCCTTGTTCAGTCTCTTAACACTTACTGTGAATGTCACTTCTTTAAGTTATAAGCAGAAAGCTTGTACATGGTGCACCACTGCTCCTTTAGTAAATGTCTGGGGTCCCGCATTTACGATTAACATTGTTTATGTAAGTGCCCTAAAAACAAAACCTTTGTCTTAACACAAAGCACTTCCAATAATAATGCTTTCTGCAGCTTTTGACATTCTGGACTGTCAGAATGTCAGAACTGTCTAAACTGACTCTTATTTCTACTCTATCATGCAGACATTTAGGGTCCTAAAGACAAACTTCACTTTCACTAGCCACTTTATCCTGGCTATGGATGTGGTGGATCCAGAGCCTATCCCGGGAGCACCAAACATGAGGCAGGAATACACCCTGGATGGGACACCAATCGTACACTCATTCACACCTAGGGACGATTAGTCATAGCCATTCCTGCTACCAGCATATATGTGAGAGGTGGGAGGAAACCAGAGAAGCCATAGGAAACCCTCATGCATAGGGGGAGAAGATGCTCAGAAGCTCCACTCAGACAGCTCAGGATCAAACCAGGTACCCTGGAGCTGTGAGGCAGCAACACTACCCATTGAGCATCCATGCCATCCCCTAAGGCACAGCATCCCAACTCTGTTCCTGGAGTACTCCCTGTCCTGCACATTTTAGTGTTTTAGCTGCTCCTAGCACATCTGATTCATCTCATCAGCTAATTAACAGCCCTTCCTGAGTTGAAGTGGGTGTGTACCAGCAGGGAAAATGCTAAAATGTGCAGAACAGGGGGTACTCCAGGACCAGGGTTGGGAACCTGTGCCTTAAGGAAAACTCTAGTCTACAAAGTGAACACTGGTGCTTGTTCTTCGCAGGTCCTTGGCTCTAAACTCATATATCTTCTCTCTGCCAAAGCTTTCCAGATCTGGGATTTGACTTATCAGCCTTATGATCTTAAATGCTGTGCTCCATGTCAACCAGACCCTTACTTAATTGTGCTTGACCTCCAATTTTAGTTTAACCGCTGTGAAATCATGTGTATGTACTGTGCTCAGTGATAAGGACCAGAACACATTTTGAGATTGGCCTTCACTCTCTCACTTAACTGTGGGATTTGCTGGCTCTATCTGACTGCCTCTCTGTCCTGTGGAGCCATGTTACAATTACGAGCGATTTCACAGTCCATTTCCTTCCCTTTGTTTTGAAAACAATCTCTGGCATTAGTTTGATAGCAGAATGTTTTCGAGGTGCAAAATTGCCTTTCGGCTCCAGAGATTAGCTTCACTCCTTTGGGTTGAAAATCCACGATCTCTGTGCCAAGTTTGCTTGACTGCTCACTCTACTTAGTGCTAAGCTTTGAAATGCTTCAAACCTGGGAGGTCCACAAAGGTGGCAAGATACTTTATGCTAATCCAGATATAGGCCTTTAATACGCACAAATTACAGATGATTTCAGGCTTGTGAGTCTATTTATGGTTAAACTAGTCTGAGTTTGTGTTCAAAAGGCAAAGTTTCCAAGCATCAAAAGAATAAAAACCAGCTATTAGTAAATAGGCATGCTTCCTGTGATGCTAAATAAATTTTTCCCAAATACCTAAGTTCAATTTGGTATATCAACAACAGTTTCCTGTTTTGTTTTTTTCTTCAGAATTTCCTAGATATACAAATGGTTGGCATAAAAATGTGTTAGGAAGGTGTTGGGCCACCAGAAGAGCTTCAATGCACTTTTGTATTGATTCTGAAGGTCTCTGCATTTCTTCCAAAACATATTCCCTCAGTTGGTGTTTTGATGATGGTTGTGAGGAGTGCTTGTCTAAAATCTCCCATAGGTGTTCAACTGGGCTGAGTTGGGTTGGTGACAATGAAGTGTCCTTACGGGATAAAGGTGATCAGTCAGAAGAACTTTGTATTGATTTGTATTGAGGAGAAAATTGAATGCAAATCATGCCAGCAAAATAAATACTGCCCACAGCATAATCGAGTCGTCGGTTTCATTTATCACGTGTACATTTTTGGCCATGTAGTCAAGAGCGCCATCTACAGCAGCCTGCATTTACAATCCACAGCCTAGAGCAGGTGCTCAGATATGCCTTTATAGTGCTATTTTCATGATGGTCTATGTATATACACATTCTTATAAATTTACTTTTTTTTTTTTCAAATGTAGTGTATACTATATTCTTGAAAATTTGCCTAGGAACACCAGTGAGAGGAATTTCTCAATCGGGTGGTTTATAAATGCAGGCTGCTCTAGGTGGTGCTCTTGGTTAAGTCTTGTTCCAATGCAGTATGTGAAAGGATATAAGTGACTCTGTAAAACCCCATAACAGACATAGCATGCCTGTAGGTGATACAATAGAGTTTGGTGAATTGCCTACGGAAACTATTTTTTCCTTCATGTTCGTGAACCAGCTCAACAGTTACAGTAATATTCCTCTTTTGTGGGCTTTCACATTTCCACGTGTCCATGCCGAATGTGTTTTGAAGATGTTGTGCACCTTTATTGCGTTATCTGATATTATGGGTGTTTTCACAACCTGCATGTACTTATATGACCATTTTTGCCTGTTTTCCTGTAGGATGGTGTCTGCTTTATTGGTGTGTGTGTGTGTGTGTGTGTGTGTGTGTGTGTGTGTGTGTGTGTGTGTGTGTGTGTGTGAATATATAACTGTTACCACCCTGACATTGATTATTTTCCACAATTCCCATGGTATGTTATTCACCTTATACCACAGCAATTTGTCAGCAATTACAATTCTTTTAATTATATTCTTTTATAGTTACATTTACCCATTATCACTTACATATAGCAGCAATGGCAAAGCGCTGACATATAAGTTTACATATAACAATATAACATGTTTATTTAGGTGTTTATTGAGGTAGTAACCTGAATAAAAAATTAACACACTGCCTCAGTTGTTTTCAGATAACGTAATTCTGTTTTAAGCTGAATGTTATTTAATAAGGTCAGTACTATTAAAGCTGCACAGCTAAAAGAAACTTTATTTAGCATGTGCAGTAATACAGTGTGCATTTATACACTCTCTAAATGATTTCAGCTAGTTTGTTTTTAAATGACTTGATGTGCCACTTAAGCTATGATTTCTATTGTAGATACTCCACATGATCTAAGCGTGCCAAGCTGCCTACACATTATTCCCGGTGTGTTTTTACTCAGAATAAATGAGGGGAGGACAAGGCTGCATAATTGTTCAGAGGAGTGCACAGCTGATTGACAAAGAGCACAATGGCTCTGATAGGGTGGGGGAGAAGGCAAGCGATGTTGCTGCACCACTCTCCATACATACCTGCCAACATCACTGGTGGCTCAGTCGTTTCTGGGCTCAGCCAAGCAGAAAGCCAAACCATTGTGCGGATGAAAGAATGCACACACAAATGCACTCACAATCACACACAGCTTTTCTCCCCACTAAGCTTTGAAGAAATGTGTTTACGCAAAATGGAAATGTGCTGATTAAACTTCTGCACATCTGTTGATGGGAATTTGTCACACTGGGTTAAAGGAAAGCCTCTATGTGGTGACTCATGTTGATATTATCTCTCTGTACTCTATTTATAGTCTGTAAAAAAAAGATTGTGTGTCTCTGTCTCTTTGGATGAAAACGCTACTGCTTTATTTGAGTTACATGTCAACAAAAGGGACTTAAGACCATACTTATCTTTTGGGAAAAGGAATGAGCTTTACTCTATAGAACATCATGTGACAATTAAAATCCTTGTGTTGCTCAACTTCAGTGCTGGCTGAATGAATTTGCCTGGTTTATCTGGTACTGTGCATCATTGATTTAAGCTATATCTGAATGACTTTTTGTCCATATGGGACATAATTAATCTTGCACTGCTTCAGTGGTCCAACGTGTTCCTTAGGGACCAGTCCTAGGACCCATCCTATAGTAAATATATGCTGCTATTTTTGTACCTCATCAGAAAGCATGGCTTGGGTTACTATGCAGATGATTCTCTAACCTATACTGGTGAGAAGGCAAATCTAAGCCCACCACTAATGCTCTCAACAGTTTTCCCCAAGTCATGGATCCAAAGTCATGCTAGCTCTGTGGTTAAGTAATTGAGCTACTGATTGGAAGGTCATACGTTTCCATCACCAAGCTGCCACTGGTGGGCCCCTGAGCAAGGCTCTTTACACTATACTGCTCAGTTGTAGGTTTCAGTTGTAAGTCACTTTGGATAAAAGTGTCAGCAAAATAAGGTGTTTTTGGTGTAAGTGTAAGCACAATGTTTTTAAACTAAACTGTTTAAACAGTTTAGGAGAACCTCTTAAACAAAAAGAGCAATCTTTTGTTAATCTTAATGTCACACCAGCTCTGTGCAGTTGCCTTCCCAGCCACCAGAGGTCTCGGTCTCCTGAAAACTGGGAAGAATGTCCTTGGTGCTGAGCTTCCGGATTTTACTTTCAGTTTCCAAGAGTATATA